TGTCCAGCTAGTAGTTGGAAGATCTGTGGTTGCAAAACCGATGTGAGAGCCCGGTTGCTTTTTCATATTTCCTGGCTTCGAAAAAGCTAAAAATCTCAAGAAGTGGCTCATGGATTTTTTTAGAATAATCTTTTCTCTTTAACGTTCATTTGAACATCTCTTATCCAAAATGTAACAATGCAGAATACAAAAATATAGACGTGTTCCACCAATGACCAAGTGGTTAAGGCCGTTGAATAATGATAGTTCGAACTGGTTTCGGTTCGAACGCGTCAAACTGGCGGCTTCGCTGTTTGGTTTTCGTGTTTTTCCTTATGTGCAACGTGAATACAAGACAATATCCCTCAGAAAGACCTTCACGAAAGCATCCCTCCTCTTCTCCTTTTAGCAGATAGCCTTCGTGGGTTTGCCATATTCAAATAGCCGAACAAAATTATGGACAAATTTAAGATAAGACTGAACAAATAGAAATATGTATTTGCAACATTATATTCCAGTTATCTAGTATTTATTAATAGCGTATAATGTTCAATATGCATTTTAGGCATTTGTTCAAGCATATTAGCCATAACGTTCACGCTGACTGCCACCACCAATCAAAAGTAGTTCTTTACGAAATTTTAGCATTTCTTTTCTATTATTAAGTCGCTAATATTAGTCTTTGTGCATTATAGGCTACTAGATTGAGTAACAAGAATCTTTGAGACACCTCCTAATAATGCATTGGTCAACGTTTAGTTCTGATCATTGCCGATGTTCTTCTGCTGGGCATGGATTCAACAAGGTGTTGACATTGTTCCTGAGGAATATTAGCTCGTGCTGAGATGATGATATTTTTAAATTCGGTCATGTTGGATGGTGGGACTTCCAAGTGCTGAAGTGATCTTTCTTTTTCATCACATGAATGCTGAATAGGTTTGAAGTTAGGGTACTGAGACTATTCATGCGCACAAAGCACATGTGCTTGTTAAAAGTGACCATCTATACCAGGGAACATCACAGTCATAAATGAGTGTACGTGACTGACAACGATGCTGCCCTGTTGAGAGACATATGAAGAGACCTACTGTAGTGCAGGAATGTATATTCCAGACCATAATTTCAGCGCCACCATCTTGAGGAGTTGTTATTAGGCAAGTGAGGTCAATGAATTCCTTCTGTTTTGTGCATATTCTGAGCTTGCCATCTGCATGATAGAGCAGAAACTGAGATTCATTGATTGTCATGCAACTTTCCTCCAATCGCTAAAGGTATTTAACATTATTTTCGTATTTTTAATGCATTAGTAAAAGGTTTTCTTTATACGTCAGATTATCTCCCACAGCAGTTGTAGGGTATCACTTGATCTGGTAATGCTAATTAGTCCAGTAAGCCTAACGGACGGGAAACTAATTGTCGCTGTGTCTGAAACGACGAGAAAGTTGTGAAAAGGTTAAAAATAGCCTTTTTTTATTTAAACAGAATTTAGAACACAAATGCTCTCTCTTGTGCTGCAATATAAACCACAACACGTGGTTGATGCCACTAAATAGAACAATCAAATTTAAATCAGATGTCAAACACTACAAGCTGGCTCACTACTAGAGCCTCAGAATTAAAGCGTCAGCAGCGAGAGAATGCTAAGCCGAATAACTGTAACTATCAGAGCTTGCAGGAAACTAACAATGAAGCGCTAACACGATTCCAGAAATATGCTTTGTCTTAAAATCCAAACAGCTCAGTTAAAATATTGGCTGCTCATTTCCATTCTGATTAGGAATACAGAAAGAAGAAAGTATACTAAAGCCTAAAATTTAATAAATAAATAAATAAAAATAATAAAAAAACTGAAAGGTTTCAGATTTTAAATTACGCCCAAAGAGGCGCTTTTTCAACAGTTTGTGTGTTACCTTTATTTATTAAATTTCAAGTTCTTCGCACTTAAAACATAAAATTCAATTTAAGAGCAATATCGCAATAGAATTTTAAAATGAGCATATATTTAGAATTACCGATACACAGTCTCGCGCGCTGGAGATAGAAATGTTTTTTTCTGTACAATGTTGCCATTGCTCGCTTTGAAGATGTTGAGTTTGTTAATCATAAATTCGTTAAAGTTTTACAAAATATAATAAAAATTAAATAATAAAACAAATTCCAAATTTGGGTTCCAGATGCTCATATTATGCTATTCAAAATCTGATGGCTCCAGGTATCGTTGTTTTATCACAATGCGAGAAACATACATACATTTATGCAGATTCTTAATTTCTTTAAATATAATGCAGGGCGATAATATTTGGTGGACACAATTTGAAAAGTGAAACAACGCTTGCAGTGAATCGAGGCAAAATGCCGAAACGAAATTAATAGTCCTTCAGGGTAAATTGTCCCTTTGAACTAATGTTTTTTAATTAGCATAAAATTCCCTACTCAGTTGACTTTAATCAATTAAGCCTTAAAAGTTTCATGTATACTTCAGAAAATTACAATTAATGTCCAACACTTTAAAATTCAGTGAAGCATTTTAACATAAACATCGACTCGTGAGATAGTATGTCACTCTTTACCAATAATTTTTACTTCAGAAGATTGGTTTTCAAAATAAACATCGACTCGTGAGATAGTATGTCCCTCTTTACCAATAATTTTTACTTCAGAAGATTTATTCTTTCAATGGTAGATTCAAATCTTATTAATACTGATTAATTTAAATCTCATTAATGCTCACATTTAACAACTTAATAACTACTTACGAATTGCGAAAATTTCAATTTGGGAATGCTTGTATTATATCTTATTAGTATCTTGCATCGGAGATTGCTTTACAGAGTATTACACTGCCCTCCAAAAGTTAAGGAACAGCACGGTTTTTTTTTTTTTTTTTTTTTTTTTGTGGTGTGTGTGTGTGTGTGTGTGTAATTTGAGAATGAAGCAACATAGAATAAGAAATTTACAGGACATGTTCCACTAAACAGTTCCTTAATGACTGTGGCATAGAATGCTTCTAAAGTTCAACACAAACATCAATTACAACAAAAAATTGCACTCTTGGCAGAGAAATCCAGTGTTGGAGAAACTGTATATCACAGTTTTTTAGGAAAAATGAGGTGGTAACATTACAAAAATGTGTTCTAATAAGAAATGTGTCCACCCCTAGCTGCAATACAATGGCGGCAGCAAAGTTCCGTGCTGGCAATTAAATTCTCGATCAGTGAAATGGGAAACAACTAGCAGACACGGAGTAATCCTTGTTCAAGCTTATTTAACGACCTTGGAGGAGGACTTAAAGCAGCAGCTTATCTCCCAAGGTAGTCCCAAAGAAGCTGTATCGGATTCAGGTCTCCCGATTGCCCTGGGCTTTTTATCCGCTTCATACCGTGACCCTCAAGATACAGAACGACGATAAATGTAAACTATGTGATCTGTTTGGTGATGCTAAGCATTTCCTCGAGGTCTGTCCCTACTTTGATGGCTTAAGAACAATAAATATTGACTTAAAATCCCTTTTTATGCTATAAAGATTTCGCACATTATGTAATCTGTGATGAAATTTTTGACGTGACGCGGGCAGTGGAATCAGTGTATGATTTGCATTTTATTGCCAACACTAATTGGTATATTTTAATATTTGTTGTTACCTGTTTTTGTTTTTTGTTTTTTTGTTTGTTTGTTTTGTTTGTGTCTTTAGGTCTGCTCTTGGCTAAATGTTGTATTTGTTCTTTTCTTCACTTTTTTCTATAATTTTATTACAATTATTCTCATTTAGATATTTATTTCATTTTTTCATGTTGAAATGGCATGGCCTGTCTGACCATAAGACCAACTTTTTGGTTAGGGTCGGCTCGCCCGCTACTGTGATACTGATACTGATACCTCAAGATATTCTTGACAACCCGAGCCGTGCGGTCGCGCATTGTCGTCCATCACAAGAAATCTAGGACCAATAGCAGCAACATATGGGCGGACATATTGATCAAGGATCTCGTCTCGATATCTCATACCAGTCAAAGTTCCTCCGTGGAACACATGGAGGTCAGTGTGACCACCGAAAGAGATCCCAGCCCAAATCATTATTTCACCACCTCTGTAACTGTGTCTTTCCGCAATGTAGGATTGGTTGTATCTGGTGCGTTGTTCCCTCCAGATCCAGCTTATGACCCGAATTACTCTCCATTGTAAACCTGGACTCTTCTGTGAAGAGAACAGACGCCCATTGTTGACTGGTCCAGGAGACGTGTTCTCTTGCCCAACATAAACGGGCTCCTCTGTGTCTTCGGGTCAAGGGGACTCACAACTGGTCGCTTGCATACAGACCTGTATTGTGCAGGGCGCTGCTGGTATTAACTGAGATTTTGTTACTGTGCCACTAAAGTCTGCCATAGTTAGGCACAGAACGTTACTCCTCCTTCGGGCCGAAAGAGCTAAATAGCGGTCTCCTGCACTTGTTGCAACTGTAGGTCTGGCCTGGAATATGTCTCCTAGACACAGAATCCTCGGATTCAAACTGATTCCATAGTCTGTGGACCACACTACGAGAGATATTGAGATGATTAGCCTTGTGACATCCCCATTTCCATCATCGGATCGTCCGCCACCTCAACGAATCGAGCAAACGACTTCTTCTGGACATTGGTAGACTCTGCTGGATATTATTCACGAAAGTGTAAAAACACCTTCAGATCAACACTTCTTGAACAAAAATTACAATTTTTGCATTTTTTTCTCCAAAATAAAAGTGATAGTTATTGTTTTTGCATAGATTTTCTTAAAACTTCGGTATTGTCATGCATATGAACTGTTAATTTAAACGTTATTGACATTTTTGTAATGGTGAGCTTTGAAAAACATGCTGTTCCTTATCTTTATTTCTTCGTTAAGTGTAAACTTTGCATTCCTATAAATCTGTTATTAAATTGTTTTGTATTTGAAGTTCTGAAAGAATATCTGATCCACGAGAAAGAACAGATTATTGAGCACGCATTTACATTAATGCAGTTTAAAATTTCCTTCATTTCTAGCCCATGATGGAGATAATGGAGAATCATGTCGAGCCGAATCCCAGCGGTCGCAACAAAATACCAACCCATCGTCGCTTCCAAGCAAGTCCACAAAATCTAACAAAACTTGTGGTTGGAAGACTTCGAAGTTTTTCAGCAAGACCATGTCTTCCGGTGAGATTTTACGAGGCTTAAAGAAATTGTCTTTAACGTCATCGGGCTCCAGCTCGGATCCAGGTGAGCCTGAACCTGGAAAACCGAGGAAATCGAAATCTGGGCAGCTAAAGAAGAGATCGTCTTGTGGGAACGACGATGTTGGGTCTGTAGAGGATGATAATAAGGCCAGAAGTCCTCGTAGTCCTGGAGGGTTTCGGCCATTGAGGTAATCTTTGTTTGTTATTTGTTTTGCGGTAAGAAAAATACTGTATAATATAACAAAATGTTATTAGTTTCTAAATTGACTGAATTTATTTCGAAACTAGGTTTGTATGGTTTCCCTTAGCTCAACCAACCTATTATTCCAATTTTTGTTATCTTTCCTGAACTCCTCAACTTCCCCTCGCATTTTCCTCGCCAGGATCTAAATTTAAAGTTAAGTGAAGTGAGTATTTAAACAGGTGAATCGTTGGAGTTTATTCAGAGCGTGTTTTCGCTAGCCAGCGCACGTTTCGTTTCTGATCTTGTAGATACGCCTTTTGGCAATCTGAATCATTATCATGCCTGTTAGGTTGTCGAGTCAACCTAGTTTAGCCGTAACTTAAAAGTGCTAATCGAGCACTACTCCCTTAGACTTGGATTTATTGTGTTACCAAATTCTTAGTTTCCACCGCAAGTTATCGGTGTTACAGTAACGTTAACAGTAACGTTTGTAAAGCACGAAGTACATGCCTTCATAGTTGAAAATAATAAAGGGTTATTTTCACCTTTCTTCTGTGTTGGTATTTCAAGCCTGTGCTAGAAGTCGTCAGGTTCATTAGTAGGATCTAGATTAGTTTATGTGACCAAAGTGAGTTAGGTTTGAAAAATATGGGCTTATACTTCCTCAAATCTCCTCAATTAGGCATCCCCAACATTTTTTAACTTAGATTACATTCTAGAATACCGATAGCGGCGCGCATATTTATTTTTATGGTCAATTTATTAGTTAATAATATACATAATACACAAAAGATTATTTCAAAAATATAATTTTAAGGCATAAAAATTATGGATTGTATTCTTATGTAAACTAAATAATTATTATAACTAGGAGCCCATACATCTACAGAAGATGTTTACACCTTTTTGTGTAACGATTTTGATTTTCTCCATGAATTTAAATATTAATTATTAAATATAAACGTGACTGGCATCAAACTGGAATAAGGTTAATTTATCGTCTGCAGCATTAAAAATATTCTTTTCTTTAAAATATCGCGGCCCACCAGCGGCCGAGCGGTAAAGTCGCTGACACTGGAGTTCGGTCCGAGTTCAATCCCAACGGGCTGCTGCATGGTGTTTTCGTGGTTTTCCCCGTGTGTACGTGTATACGAGCCAGTTTCCCTTAGAAAGTCCTCCACGAAAGGCATCCCTCCCCTTAGGCAGATAGCCCTCGTGTGCTTTGCCATAATTAAATACACGAACACCAACACCAACTTTAAAATATCACTGAAAAATAAACAATAGAACGAAGGCTATATTTTTGCTGTGTCCGAAGAGAAATACTCTTATTCAATTTATAAGGTATTTCTCTCGACTTCTTAGCATACCTTCGTGGTGTAGTGGTAAGCACGCTCGACGCGTATTCGAGAGGTCCGTGGTTTGATTCCCGCCAAGCGCATTGCTCATTTTTCGTCTCTGATGCAGCATCAAAAATCCTAATGTCTCTACAGTGCCCCCCCGAACTAAAAACAGGGGTGGATGATGATTCCCCACCACCAGGATTTGGCGATTGGGTCCCCTAATCCCCAGTCAACCTTTAAAAGGGGGAGTATGTAAGGCATTTCTCCCGACGTCTTAGCATGCCTTCGTGGTATAGTGGTCAGCACGCTCGGCGCGTATTAGAGAGGTCTGTGGTTCGATTCCCCGCGAGGGTATTGCTCATTTTTTACTTCTCCTGCTTCTAAATAACCCAATGTCTCTACAACTTATTAAAGAAAGATTTGAAAAGCGTGGTCATCTTACAGGCCAATCTGTCTACTAGCGCTCGGTAAGGTATTGGAAAGAATAATTCTTTACAGACTGGATTTCTTCCTGCAAAGGAACAACGCCCTGCATCCCAACCAATATGGATTTCGAATGGGCAACTCAAACTGAACATGCATAAAACTTAATGGCCACTATCAAACAGAACAAGGATAAAATTGCACTCACTGCAATAGCCATTACATCAAGGGAACCTTTGACTCCCTTGGTGGCAGACGTAATAAATTTGGCACAACAGGCCTGCCAACAGCCATGATTCCATCCTTCGCTCGTACCTTCAAGATCGAAGTGTACAGTCACATCAAACAGCGGCATTTATGTCAAAATGTCTTTAGAGGGTATCCACAGGGGTATGCCTTGACCAAATGTGGAATATAGTGACAAACTCGGCATTTCTCAGTTTGAGAGTGTAGAACCCTCGAATCATGCCCTGCCTATGCGGGACGATTTTATGCTAGTTGTGGCAGGAAGGACAATCTCGAAATGAATCTCAATACTGTCTTGATCTTTTCTCCCAATGGGACAGAGCACATAAGCTTCAGATTTCGGCAGAGAAACTAAAGGAAGTTTCCCCCCCATTGAAATATTTAGGCGATTACTCGACAACAGACTTTTTGGATGCCACATGTCAGGAATCTTAAGACTCGAATTAGCATCCTAAGCAACAACATGAGACCATGACTTCACACAAATGGGGTAGCTCATCTAAGTACTAAAAGTTTGGCATAGAAACCATTACAGAAAGAGTAATAACTTACCGAGGAGCAATCGGGGTGGCGACTTACCTCTCATATGAAAAGATCCCTGCTCTCTATCAGAGATAGCAGCTACTTCAAGTATGCAGGCCTACCGTACCACGTCAACACTAGCCGTAAACAACTACAGAATTCCTCCCCTAGATTTGATAGTAGAAAGGGAGGCAGCTATCGTAAGGGTTCCAGGCTGGGTCAAACTTCAACACTCTGGGGTCATAGTTACACCACTCGGACTACGAGGAGCAAAACAACTGCAATAACTTTCATCCAGCAGCTTTTAATCTCTCCGACGTATCAGTCTAAACACCAACCAATTCAGAGGTACAGTAATAACCTTTTTACAGATGGCTCCACTGAGAGGCACGGGCAGCGCCTTCTGAGACTAAGCATGAGTGTAACATTCGAGTGGAAAAGAAATTAGCTGGAACACTCGGTATACCAAGCAGAGCTTCTAGCTATCAGTGATGCAATTAGATATGCGAACACATGTCAACAGAAAATCTCCCTCAGTGATTCGGCATCAGTCTGGCAGCTTTCGCAAGTCAAAACAGCCGGAGTCCTTTGTATACAGAATACAGAACCAGCTTTTGACAATGCCTATTTCGTAAAGACCCACTTTAATGAGTTCCGCTCACACGGGATTAAGCAATGAAGCCGCGACCTACTGGCCAACAGGCAGCCAACTGCACGGATATATTAGAAAGACCAACTAAATTCCTTGGTTCATATTAAGCGAACAACTTTGACAAGTCTGCAACAAATTGGCAAAGTAGATGGACAAGGCAGAGGTAGGACGAGGACATTTCGCTTATGCCAAAAGTTAATGGGATAAAGACCCACTGTGCTAGCCTAACACAGTTTCTTCCCAGGTCATGGACCATTCTCAGTACCTGAACAGATTCAGACTTAGGGATACCTTTCGCGAATGCGGAGAGAAGGCGACAGGACCATTATTGCTTCCATGTGTACATACAAGAACCTGGCCCTTGAAGAAACCAGCGCTGTGCCTGGGAATGTGACGAATAACACATTCAAAAAATAATAGCCCTTCATAAAATAAGAAAATCTCAAGACACTGCCTAAGCAGAAACAACCGTGGATTATATTTATTTCAAATTTCAAACTTAAAGCAGATAACCAGAATACGCTTAGTGCCTGTAGTTATCAATATGTAAAACTGTTATTATATAATATTCAAACTTGTACTCGGGAGTTTCCCCGCCGTGATGTATATAATTCCGTTTGGTTCATGTCCGTGGTCGGAAGCCATCATAGCGGTGCACTCACTCACTCACCTTATAATGACACTGCTTGTTTGTTTACCTTTATGTATAAACTATTGACAGAGTTTCTCCGTATCTTCCTGCCAGAACGCGGGGCTGAATCGTTTTGAAAAACGAGGTATTTTTGTTTTCCAAAACTCTCTGTCGCATCGTCGAGAAAACGTTTCCGTTTTGGTTGAATCTTGCCTCTTGTTATGTATTCACAGGAAGTCTTGAACAAAATTTACTACGCCTTGTTCAAGATAAGATAATCCTGTACTTAAAACATGGTTACATGCGTTATCGAGATTCAGAAAATGAGGTTTGATTTTCATTTTGAAGTAGTCTTTCAGTTTTCAATTTGTCAAGAATAAATTAGCAAAGCTCAAGACGAGGTGTTTTTTTTTTTTTTAGTCCAAAGGGATTTGAATCCCGAAGGACTATTAGTTTGGTTTTGACATTTTGCGTCGGACTCATAAATGTCGGTTCACTTTTCAAACTGTTGCCACAAAATGTTAGAGTCCTGCATTATATTTGAAGAAATTAAATAATGAAAAATCTGCGTAAATGTATGTATATTTCTCGTAATTGTCATAAAATAACGGTACATAGAGTCATCGAATTTTGAATAACGTAATCCTCCAACGAATATGAGCATGTGGAAGACCAAATTTGAAATTTGAAATTTGTTTTATGATCGATTTCCTATTTTTTTAAAACTTTGACGAATTTTTGATTAACAAACTCAAGGATTTCAAAGCGAGCAATGGCAACGTTGTGCAGAAAAAACATTTTTATCTCCAGCGCGTGAGTCTCTGTATCGGAAATTCTAAAGATATGCTTGTTTTAAAACTATTTTGCGATATTGCTGTTGCACTGGATCTTATGGTTTAAGTGCGAGGAACATGATATTTAATAAAGAAAGGTAACACACAAAATGTTAAAAAACGCCCTTTTGGACGTAATTTAAAATCTGAAACATTTCAGATTTTTTTTTTTTTTTCATTCTAGGAAAAGAAATTATAATATGGAGCGAGCGCATTTTCATTATATTAAATATCATTAAAGGTAATTTATCCCGTCGCGCACCCCCGGAAAGCGGTATAGAAAAGCAAGTACTTTCCTCTTTTTCTAATTTACATGAACGGCATAAGAAATATCTTTTTTTATTTATTCTGGCTTGAGTTAACAAAATATAATCTGAAAGAGAAACTCGCCATTTTTACTTTATTTCATAATTTTTTCGACGAATTTGATGCTGTTACTGAATTTATTTTTGCACTCGGAAAATATATAGGTTGCTCGTTATTTTGGAATGCGCTTTTAAAAAATAAAAACTTTCCCAAAGCGTGATTTTATTTTTACTCTGTACCTGTAAAAATATCTGTGTCACTTTCAGTGCAGAATTTTGTATGTATATATAAGTAGTTACTGTGCAAATCAGCTTGACTATTGCTTAAATATATAAACATCGCTCAATTCTAAAATGAGTTCACATATCGTATTTGAGAATTAATTCGTTGTACACTGTTATTAATAAATCCGAGAAACATTTGAAAGCTCATAACAAATAAACTATACTATCAATACCAAATTTATATCACCCAAATAGAGGAGAAATTTTCGCTTTAGGTACATATATTTATGTAGATAGATTTAAAAACGAGTAAAATAAAGTTCTAATATTAATTTTCGATGTCCCTTAGTTCTCCTTTTAAATTACCAAAGGGACGTTATGCGAGAAAGGTCTATTAGTCTCGAAACAGCATTTTGCGTCGAATCACTTTTTAGATTGTTGCCACCAAACATTATCGCTCTGTATTATATTTAAAGAAATTAAATAATGGAGAACCTCCATGAATATACGTATGTTTCTTGCAATGTGAAAAAAACAATGGTACCTAGAGCCATCGAAATTTTGAATAACGTTCGTCTCCACCCGAATATGGGTATCCGGAAGCCCTAATTTAGAATTAGTTTTATTATCTACTTAATATTTTTTTAACTTAACGAATTTTTGATTAACAAACTCAAATTTCAAAGCGAGAAATGGCGACACTGTACCCCCCCCTAAAAAAAAAATCTCCAGCGCGAGAGACTCTGTATCGGAAATTCTAAAGATATGCTCTTTTTAAACTATTTTGCGATATTGCTGTTGAATTGAATTTTATGGTTTAGGTGCGAAGAGCACGATATTTAATAAATAAAGGTAATACATAAGATGTTAACAATAAAGCCCTTTTGGGCGTAATGTAAAATTTGAAAACTTTTAGATTTTTTTCCACGTATATACATACTATATAACAAAATACGATAGCTGCTTTAAAAAATAATTGGCGACCTCAAAGTTAATATTCTACATTTGGTGATCTCCCCCCTAAATTCATCTGTTCTCCCAAATTCGAGATTTTTCGACGTTACGTAATGCTGCTTGAAAAGGGCAAACAAAACTAAAACTAACCAATCATAGCGTGTGTCTGGAATCGCACCTACTCTGATATAAAAATAAATTACGTCACCTTCTTTTGCTAGCTCCCACTTTGCTAATATCTCCTCATTTTGCTTCCCCGTAAGTACCTGCCTGTTAAATTTAAGAATCAATGTAAGCAATTTATCTCGAGATTTCATTATGATTGGATAAATATCTATGCAGATGATTTTATATGTGTAAAAATAAAGACTGGAAATTCTTCATGTTTTGTTAATCTTCATCTGTAAGCCTTCAAGCTCAGCTACGAAGACTGCAAGCTAACTGTTCTTCTATATTCCCAGAATCATGACATCTTCTTATATATAAGCGGCTTGAGTGTTTATTGCTTGCTTGGGTAACTGTAAATTGTTTTATTCCCCGTGCAGTGCAGCGCATGACAGAGAATTATATTATAAGAAAGCTAAGCCGGAAAAATTAAAAATACAAGAGCACGTGTATTTAACATTTAATAAATAAATTTAACATCTATATATAAAAAATCTGATGTGCACACCACATGACTTCCTTGTACAGAATATTAAATTATACGCATTTTTTCTTGCATTTTATTTAAACTTATTAGATTGAATTAAACCTACTTCGCCGACAGCGCATAAACCACAACAGAATAAATGCATTCTTTAAAACTCACTTTGTTTACCATAGCGACACTCTGGCGCTAGGTTTACTTAACAGTATTATATTTCATTCATATTATAACTCAGAATGCACAAAATGTATATCATTTAAAGAATTATCTAATCGTTGCCACATGTTCTATTCAAATACTATAATAAAGCTAGAACTATGTAATACATAAGATATATTGTATAAAAGAAATTAAGCAAACAAAACAAAACAGAAACAATTTTTCACAGACGATTGAGTATTTTTCATTTAATTAATTCAGTTCTCACTTCGCGAGAAGGCAAAAATACATAAAAACTCAAAATATCTATATTAAAAATTACGAAGTAAATCTCAAATGCTTATTTCCTCGAAAAAATTCCAGAAAGAATTAAGCATGATTTAATTGGCAGTAATAAATGAATGCGTTATCTTTGTTGTTGCGAAGCTAAGTTTCTCTAGATTGGGAACAAATCCATAAGTTTCTCTACATTGGGAACAAATAGTCTCCTGTTTCAAATGTAAACATCAATGGCCGCCATTAAAAACAGGCTTAGCGGCAATTACACAACTTTAAAATTGCTGATAATTCTAAAAATATTGCACACAGATTTACTAAAGGCATAAAATCCTTAACCGGAAGATAGAACAACACATAATTCAATCATTTTTAAAGCAAAAAATGTACAATTTACAAACATGTAAGAGTAAAGAAACTGAGATCACTGAGCCGGGTAACAGAGTGGATATATATATATAAAATATATTTATATACGTTTGGTGCGGCCGATTGCAACCAAAATACGAGGTGCACATCTACATGTTATAGCAGTCCTATATACAAAATTTCAACGTTCTGAGGCTACTCGTTTTTGAGTTATGCGAGATACGTACGTACGTTCGTACAGACGCCACGAAAAATTCTCTTCAGAATTCATTTTAAAGCAGTTTTATAATTTTTTTGGAGGAAAAGAATATTTTATTCTGTCCTTACATACAGATATGACGCAAAAACATCGTTAAATTGCATTCGATAGCGGTCAAAATGGATATTTTCGTTGAAATATGCTGCCTGAAACTTTTCGCGATTACAATACTTCCTTTTTACTTCGTACAAGGAAGTAAAAAATTCTGGAAATATGTAACCGCCAAAAACCGACCACGATGCAAAAACAAATAAAATGAAATAAACAAATATTTTTATTATATGCGGCTTAAGTGTCTGTTTTGTCATACTTAAGTGTCTGTTTGTAGCCGATAGTTTATACTGGTTGCTTGCGTAACTGTACTAGCCAATGGGGTGAAGTTGCCACGGGAACAGGTTTTGCCGTTTCAATTGAGAAGTAGACAATTTCCTGTAAAACTTGCCCTTTGCTATGACCATCCATAAGTCCAGTGCCAAACGCTTAAGCTGTTGGCATTTTTTACTGAGCCTGCTTTTGGACACGGTCAACTTTATGTTGCCTGTTCAAGATTTCGCGAAAGAACGGACTTAAAATTAAAATTAATGGATGGGCCTCTGCAAGGCGAGCTTAAAAGTGATGGAAAGATCTACACAATGTTGTGTACACAGAGATCTTTGACATGCGAATTAACATTTTATTATTTAAATCACCTTTATTTTTTGAGCTAGCGTTGGGGCTCTTAAGAAATGTACCGCCAGTGGTTTCCTTCATTGCACTCTACTTTAAGTAATTAAGCAAGTAGAAGGGGGAAACCCCGTGGGACAGTAAGCAAAGGGGCGTCCTAGCCGCCTGCTGTGGGTAATTCAGTTTGTATTAGCCGACACCTTTGCACAAATCATTTTAATTACAATTCATAATATCTAGAACGGAGGTCATTTCATATGACCTCCGTGCTTTCTAGTATATATATATATTGAGAGCTTTTTTTAATTATTTTACGTTGTGTTTCCATTCATTGAATACATACAATAAAATTTAATTTCTTTTCCAGCAAGACCATGTCCCTTTCTGAACCGGGTACTACAAAAACAAGCAACTTGGGAATAGTCTGCAAAAAGGAGGATCTGAAGGCCATTCTTTGTACAGCCACCAACAAGAAGTTGCCTTTAGCTTCTCCAACCAAACGGCGTCGAGGGCAGACTCCTTTGAGGCAAACCAAATCCGCTTCCTTTGATCCCCCTGAAGACAAGCAACGGAAGAAGGACCCTATTCGAAGGGCTGGTAGTGAAGAATCACGCACCAAGAGGAGCCATCAGTCGTTCGACAACAACGAAGTGCAGCCACAGAACGAAAATGTTCCTCAGCAGACGAAGTCGCAAATGACATCAAACGTTCTGGTGGTGGACAATCTCAATGCGCAGAACAACCACCTCAACTCGATGCTGACCGTGGAGGAGCAACCTTCTTCTCTGCCTGAGAGACTGAGCGAGGGGAGTCTATCTGCAGTGAAGTGGGACGAATGTGAAGTCGTCGATGCTGTGATCATAGGAGACGCTATCGAATCCTTTCTCAAAGGATCCATGTCTGGATCAGAGAAAAAAGTGTCTTTCAGGAGAAATTCTGATAAAAGAGCCAAATCTGACGGGTGATGCTTTTGTTAAGATTTCGTACATTTATTTTTTAGCTTTATATTGCGTTGTTTGTGGTCTGTAAATTAAGTCTTATTTTTCAACTGTAGGCCTAATCCAAACCCATCTGCATCTATAAACAGTTCATAGATAAATTCAAGAAAGAAATAAATAAGAATTAGAAAAAAAAGGAACTAATAATTAAAATTATGTTTCATAAATGTCAAATAAATGTAAAATAAAAAAGCAAACAAAAGGTAACAATAAAGAACACATTATAAAGAAGTTTGAAGCGTATATTCTGAATTGGTTTTAAACTAAGTTAAAAAATAAATAAATAATTGTAGGAATAAAGTATCGTAACTTCAAAAACAAAATATCTCCCTCCCCCACTTTGAATTGTGTAATATGCTCGTGTGTGTTAAATTCTGCCAAATAGGAGTATCAATTTTGAAGCGTAAATAGTTGAAATTTTCAGAGATGTTGGTTTTACGATTTAAATGCTAATCTGACTGCGAAATTCATATTGTTGATGTTCAGGTATTAGCTGACTCTCACTATAAGTTAAATATTATTTTTAATATTTTTCTTAGTTGTGATCTGGAAAAAATAAATAAATAAATAAATAAAATAAAATAAAAGTAAAAATGAATAGTTAAAAAAAAAAAACAGGATAAGTCTTAAAAAAAAGAAATAAATCTGAAATGTTGCAGATTTTTAAATTACGTCCAAAGGGGCGTTTTTTTTAACATTTTATATGTTACATTTATTTATTAAATATCATGTTCTTCTCATTTAAACCATAGAATTCAGTTCAACAGCAATATTGCAAAACAGTTTTAAAATCAGCATATCTTTAGAATTTCCGATTCAGGGACTCATGCGCTGGAGATAAAAATGTTTTTTCTGTACAACCTTGCCATCGCTCGCTTTGGAATCCTTGAGTTTGTTAATCAAAAATTCGTGAAAGTTTTACAAAATAGGAAATCGATAATAAAACAAATTTCAAATTCCAAATTTGGTCCTCCACATGTTCATATTCGTAGGAGGATTACGTCATTCAAAATTCGATGGTTATATGAACCGTTGTTTTATCACAATACGAGAAATATACATACATTTATGCAGATTTTTCGTTATTTAATTTCTTCAAATATAACACAGGGCGATAATACTTTGTGGGAACAGTTTGAAAAGTGATTCGCCGTTTGTAGTGAATCGATGCAAAATCGCAAAACGAAACAATAGTCCTTCAGGAACAAAGTTCCTTTGGACTAAAAAAAAGGGGGGGGAAAGAAAAATTTATTTTAGCCCTTCAAAAATATTTTTCTTTCTGAGAATTTTGCAAATCTGATGACAAACTTCTCTGATCTGATGGCTTTAAACAGAAAATTTTAAAAACAGAAGTACTATCTGTATACCAGACACTTAGTAAATGGCATTATAAACATCTTCTATTAATTATTAATCCTGCAAATATTCATAAAAATTATTCATTAGATGTTTTATAAATTAAGCGTATTTTAAATTCTATCATAAATATGTTATTAAAATTTAAAATAAGAGGTTAAAATTTAAATTATCAAGATGTACATTTATTGCTTTGAAAGTTTTTAATTTATAAAGCAGTTATTTAATTATTAAATTAAAAAGATAAATTAAAGATCTTATGCTTCGCCGATGGCAGCGGTCTGAGAACTGGTTGTAGACGTTATCGCTTGGAATACCAGCGCCCGTGAATGGTAAATACTATACTGTAATGAAATGTATTAACTCAAAAATTTTGAGAAGACTTCGTCAAAGTTATTCCTAGTATCAGAAGTGTTAATTATATTGCCTGATATCAGCTACATCAGAAGGCATTAGAATAATACGCAGTCGCTATATATGCGAAAGCAAAACTGATATGCAGATAAATATGTATTCCTTTTTCAACTGGTGTTATCTCACAAAAGAATCTAAAATCTTTATTTGAAAATTTGAGGCACATTAGTAAAACTGAAAAGTTAAATAAGCTAAAACTTTTAAGAAAAAGTGGCTTAGAATGAGGTATTAAAAGTGTAACGTTAATACAAATAATTTAGCTAAACTTTTAAAAATAAGAAATGTCATTTAGTTCAGATAAGCATAAAATGTGGCCAAACTATAATTAATTCTCATATACATCTTATCTGACGTTTTTAAAACCTTTTATAAAATTTTCTAAAAATCTGAATAAAATTGCGCAGAGCTTCAATTTTGATACTATTTAATAAACCACACGTATAATTATAGACCACATATAATTAAAATTTTGACATAATTTATAGACCACATATAATTAAAATTTTGACATAATTTATAGACCACATATAATTAAAATTTTGACATAATTTATAGGCCACATATAATTAAAATTTTGACATAATTTATAGACCACATATAATTAAAATTTTGACATAATTTATAGACCACATATATAATTTTTTAAGTATTTAATTTAAAGGCTGGTGTGAAATTGAGCTTCTTAATTACAAATATATATACACCAGTAATATTTGATACTTCTTATAAAATCGCTGCATGTTGGGAAGATTAAATACTCTACTAAATTAATTTGATATCTTTTTAACTGATTTTTAATATTTTATGTGTACGTTTTCCTGTAACATTTAAAGAATTTTTATAATTAGAAAATCATAATTTTCATAACTCCCTTTTGAAATTTCAGAAATATACAGTATTAAATATGCGAAAATATGGGCTAATTTAATGTATTTTCAAATCTTCAGCAGTTTCCAATACACTTTTCAACGCGGTCTGTAAGAAATCTCGCTACTGCTTGGTAACATATCAGTTATTAACAACAAAGTCGGAGTTGTTGATTGGTTATTATTATAGGACCTGAAAGTTAAAGGATTGTAACATTGAAGCTTTATACAGTACGGTTTTATACAGTACGCGATAAATTAATGCAAATGGCTGCATTTTAGTGGTAATTATAGTTACACAAACAGTGATACTTATTTTAGTACTTACGTATTAGCACAACCACCTTAATAGAAGTCGCCAAGTTTTCAGAAAGCGCCAAACTCTAGTTACAGTTCTTTACTTTTAACAAACAGGGTTGCCATTTTCCTATTCGTTTGTTGTATTCGAACAGTTTTTAAAAAATAACCAAATTGAAAAACAATGATATTTTTTTAATCTTAAACTCAATATTGAATTTGCCTGCACTGGAAGACATTGCGATAAAAATTCAAAAATACAATATTTTCGCTCGAAATCGGAACCAGTTCCTTTATATCTATTTGAAGCTATCACTTCAGAATTTCTACCGAAACAAACAAAAAACTGTTTATAAATTAGTTTATAAGTCTTTACATCATCCTTTTTCAACCGTAAAAAATAGCTTCAGACTGACCCAAAGTGGTTGCGCTAACACATAAGTGTTATTATCTATCATAACTGGTCTAACAATAAAATAATGACTAGGAAAAACAATTTCGTTGAAATATTTTTAATGTGTGATTCAGTTAATTTTATTTCATTGAAAAAAAATATATGGATCTATTAAATTTCTACGAATAATTAATCCAGTTTTTGCTGAAAGTATTAAACTTTGCCAGAAGAATTCTGGCCTCAATTGCCAGATACCGAAAATATTTATTTGCAAAAATAATTATGCGTAAGAATTCCTTTACTTGCGAACTTAAATGAACATGTAAGTTGGTTTGTGAACTGATACAGTATATCGGTTTATGCAAAGTGTTAGGAATTAAAAGTTAAGTAGAAAATAACGTAAGAAAAATTTCTTACATGCATTTGTTTGTAATGAATCAAATTTTAGGCTTAGGATATGAGGTATTCGAATTCTAAATACCTCAATATTTTAATGTATTGGCATTGGTTGTTTGAAATAGTGTTAGTATATGTCGATCATGCCTGAAATCATGTGATAAAATTATCAACAAAATTACTATTTTAATAGTGATTTATGAAATTTTTTTAATATTTTATATCCGAAAAATGTTCGTATGTATAAAACTTCTTACTCGAGAGTTTGCAAATTAAGGAATTCTTGTTTATGGAAAAAAGAAATTTGATTAAATTTATATTTAAAGCTATTAAATATATTATCTTAAATTTTTTATATAAATACATCGCTTTTAATCGTATTATATTATAATCATCACGAAATAAGGTAGTATAATACTGTAATATGCACATAACTAGCTCTATGAACTCAGCCTTAACAGCATTTGATTATATTTTGTTAATTGCATTATGCATTAAAGTCGTCGATTCTCAATTTATTTATTTATTTATTTATTTTATTTTTTTTATTTTATTTTATTTTATACAACCTTCGTGGCTTCCAACTTCTGTCTTTTTCATCTCCCGCCCAGAATATTGTGTATTTTAAATACAGAGAGAAGTGAAAAACAATTTTGAATCAATAAAGAAATACAGACGTTTAATGCAAATATTATTATCCTCCCCCCCAATCTTATGCAAGTAAGACGGTTGCCATTCGAAAAAAATAAACATTTGCTCTTGCCTGAAGAAAAGTATAATAGAACGCTGATCTTATTGAATTAAAAGTGCTTTCTAATTGTTAATTCAGTAACCTTATGTACGCCTGATTATATCAAATTTTTATAATAAAAAAAATCTGAAAGCTTTCAGATTTTACATTACGCCCAAAGGGGTGTTTTTATTAACGTTTTGTGGGTTACCTTTATTTATTAAATATCATGTTCTTCGCACTTAAACCACAAAATTCAGTTCAGTAGCAATATCGCAAAATAATTTCAAAATAAGCATATCTTCAGAATTTCCGATACACAGTCTCGCGCGTTGGATATAAAAGTTTTTTTTTTTTTTTTTTTTTTTTTTTTTCCCGTACAGTGTTGCCATTGCTCGCTTTGAAATCGTTGAGTTTCTTACTCAAAATTTCTTTAATGTCTGACAAAATATGAAATAGGTAATAAAAAAATTCCAAATTAGGGCTTCCAGAGGCCCATATTCGGTGGAGGATTATGTTATTGAAAATTGGATGGCTCTAGGTACCGTTGTTTTAGCATAGAGCGAGAAACATACATACATTTATGCAGATTCTTCATTATTTAATTTCTTTAAATATTATACAGGGCTGTAATATTTGGTGGCAACAGTTTGAAAAGTTAATCAACGCAGAAAGTGAATCGACGCAAAATGCCAAAACGAAATTAACAGCCCTTCTGGCTAACGCCCTTTGGGCAGAAAATGTTAACATACAAATAAGAATTCAGCAGTGGCATACATTCAGAGTTAATATATAAGTTCAGTGGGATATATTTCCTTATTGATTCGTATTCTTCTCGTGTAATTTAAAATTAAGCAAATATTAAATTGGCATGTTTAGTGGCAATATTTTGAAATCAAGGCAGCACTGTAGGGTATGAAACATTTTTATCTCAAACGCGCTAGGCTGTCTATCGGAAATTCTGAAGATATTGCTGTTTTTAAATACTTTTAGTCTAAAGTGGCGTTAGCCTAAATGCTCTCGAAACGTCAACGTATCTGTAAATTGGGGGAAAAAAACCGCTTTGGGTAAAAAAAGCCCGTTTTTATTAT